GAATACTTAGAACTTCAGTATAAACGGTTATTTCTTTCCTCGGTGTTTTATAACCAGTGTTCTAAGACAGAAACTGGGAAGTGGATCAGTCTAGACAAGAACAGTCAAAATGGGAGCTAGAGAAAAACGAAGTGAGCGAGAGAGTGGCTTTTAGCACAGAGAACACGTAACAATCAAAGCGTTCACGCTCAGGAGCTGCCCTAGGCCCTGCACTCCGTCTGTGGGCCAAGGCCTCTGCGGGGTGATTCCTAGGCACCGGTGTGTTCCACGAGCCTGGCCATGTGCTCGTTCATCACTCTCGGCTCCGTGTTCCATGCGAGCGGCTCACCCAGAGGCCGGATTCCTCACTCACTCCCTGTTCCATCAGAGGACATCGGCTCCTGTTAGTGAGGGCTGAACTTGGAGCCCGTCTGGGACCCAGAATCCCATCTGCCTGGCACCTCCCAGGACTTTCCCCCAACTCTCAGTCCAGCAGTTTGGGGTCGATCACATTCAGTGCATTGTTTCGGCCTTTGGCAAGTCTACCTGGGCAGTCCATCCAGGGCAGGGATTGTGTCTTCTTCATCGTGGTACCGCGGTGGCAAGCAGGGGACTGACACGCCAGAAGCCCTTAAGGAAGAGTGAGTGTTGGATGTACAAGTAGCAGCCCCGGGAGGCCTGTCAATGCCTGAGTGCAGAAAGGACACATGACACTCGCAGCGTCCCCTTGACCTATCAGCTTGGTCGCACAGCAGGGCATAGGTGTCCCTCGAGCCACATAAGATGTAGAAGCGACGACCAGAAGAGAGAGATCGAGCTGGCCAATTGGGAGCCTCGGCTGGGTGACGAGAGCAGGAGCTGCAGAGATGGCCTGGCCGCTCGGGGGAGCCAGCTGTACGCAGACAGCAGGGTTAGCTGCACAGTGCTGGCCACGAGTGGGGCCTGGTGAACCGACTTGTCGGCCACAGCTTCTCAAATGTCCCAAGCGTTATGTCCTAACATTCCAAAATCAACAGGACCGAAGGGTCGCTCGACCTCCGCTGCTCCTGGAATAAATTCCTGGTGCTGGAATCGGCATTAAGACATTTCTTACTCCCCTCCCCACCCTCACGTATTCTGCAATCCAGGCCCGTTGGAGTTTGGGGAGCATTTTTTTCTGCACTTTTGTTTTTGATGTCCCACTTTTGCTGATGCTATTCTGTTCACCGGGGTGATACGTTCACCCCATAAGACTCTAGCCTACTCCACACGGCTTCTCGTCCATCAAGGTGCAACCCAAACACTCCCTCCCGTGGCGCCGTTCCTTACCTCTCCCCAGCCCACTGCCATCCAACTCCGTTGCTTAAACGCCCATTCCATTCTGTCTGCAGCTCACTTATGAGCCTCATATGAACTGCCTCATGTCAGCATTATTTTTTAATGTATCCATTGCTCCTTTCAAATTATAAACTTCAGGGGAGTGGGGACAATATCTTATGTATCTTTCTTTACACGGTATTTTTTTTTTAACATAGCATTATTAAATAAATGCTTTTCAACTAAAGATGCTCTGCTGGTTCGAGACTGCTGGAACAAGTGGAGTTTGTTCTAACAACCTCCCCAGCTCTTCTTTCTATACCTTTTGATGTCCTTCCCCTCCCCTGCTTCCCCTAAGGCACTGAGCTGGCAGTTCTTAGTGATCTCGATGACGTGGGAGGAGGCAGCACAGTGTAGTGGGGCTGGAGAGTCACAGGTCTGGTCCGCAGAGCTGACTCTGGCCCCGGGTGTCATCATCAGCCCCCTGATACAGATGAGGCAGCGAGGGTCTGGGGAGCCTAGGTGACTTGCCCATGGTCACATAGCTGAGAAGGGTCTGACTCTAGGAGTAGGCTGCGTTTAAGGGGAAAATACATTTCATCCTTACCAAGCAAATGATGTACCTGGAGAGGACAGTATCACCTTAAATTTCTCCTCACAAAGGACTTTCCCTTAATATTCTGTTAGCGTTTGTAAGCCTTCACCCAAAAGGAATTCATAAAGTTTGGAGATGTACTGTCTGTTGATCTTCAAATCAGCAGACTGAACTCTACATAGAACGGCTGGAATACGAAAGCAAGACCACCTCCAGGACTAAAGCTAGGTCTGAAGTCCCATCCACCCCTGGTCCAGAAGTTTCCTGAACCCTGCTCTATTGGTTAAGAATTATTTCCTCATTTTCTTATTTTTCTATATAGAAAGGCAATGAAAACAAGAAAAATACATTATATAGCAATTTAGAATTTTGAATGTGTTTTACATATCTCTCTCATTTGGCCTCACAACAATCTTTGAAGTAGTTACTGAAATTCAGAAAAGGTAAATGGTAGAACCTTGAATTTATGGCTCTTATGCTCTTCCAACAAAGAGGTTTTCAAGTCGGTGAGAGAAAACTTAAGTGAACGAGGTAGCTTTCTCAAAAACAGCATCGACTACCAAATGTTATGTGTATTTGGTGTCTATTTATAATTTCAACTTCCGTTTTTCATGCTTGTCTTCTTCTCCAGGCACAGTCACTTCCTGGGTAGTCATTTTTTTCCTGCCAGTAAACAGCGCCTTGAACCCGATCCTCTACACGCTCACCACCAGCTTCTTCAAGGACAAGCTGAGACAGCTGCTGCACAGGCATCGGAGGAAATCAATTTTCCAAACTAAAAAAAAAAGTTTATCGACATCCATTGTGTGGACAGATGACTCCTCTTCTCTTAAACTTGGGGTTTTGAACAAACTCACCCTTGGGAACAGTATAATGAAACCACTTTCCTAGCAGTGCTTGGGGATCACTGGACCTTGAATGGATCACTGTTCAAAAGTGCTGCGTTTGGAAGATGACACCTGCGACGTTTTTCATCTTTGCCAACAGCCAACCTTCCCACACAGAGAGAGCACTCCAGCGCTCCCGTGGCAGCCGTGCTACTTAGCAGCTGTGCTGACAGCTGTGCCCAGCGTTTCCTCTCACCCCGACGTTTCTGAAATGCACAAGTGGACCCACATAGAGAAGGCTGATAGGCAGCTGGTCACCACCACCAAGCTCCTGGTGAATGCCCACGTGTCAGCACTGCATGCATGGTCTGCTTTAACTTGAGTAGCGCTGTCCGTAAAATAAAACCATTCACGACATCTAATTCCAGTGTGGCCAAGGCAACGTTTCTCAATGAACTCATCAGCACCCCGCTGCACAGGATCTGAGATGGTCACCCACCGCAAGGCCTGCCCGATGGCGGCCAGTGAAGTTGTGACTTTGAAAGAACTTCATACAAGGTGACGTCAAGCACGTGACCAGAGAGGCACGCTGGCAGAGCCCAGTACCACTCACCTTCCTGGCTCTGACCGAATGTCAGAAGTGTTAGGATCTCAAACAAGATATTTTTCTTAAGGTTGCCCAGGTTCCAGTGAAAGGTTGGGTATCCCAACCACCAAAAACTACATTTTAATATTGTTTAAGTATAATTTCTTCAGAGCAGAATCTCTATTGCCTTCAGAGGACACGCGGATAAGAAGTGTTAAAGGGGTTTTAAGAATAGTGGTTTGATGGGACCATTTGCTCACTCAGATAAATGCCCATTATTTTAAACAAAAAGGCCAGTAAGTCTGCATTTGTTTCTTGAAAATGAAAAGTACTTGTGGAGGCCCAAACATGTTTTTTATACTGAAAGTTTATATGTGGAAAAAAAAAAATCAAGTAAATAAAATTCTATTTCGCATTTGTCCACATATTATTTTAAGGTCACCAAAGGCCACAAGGAGGGCGTACTGGCTGTGACCCTCATTTCTCCTGATAGAAATACAGTTAGGAAACACAGCACCTCGGTAACAAGACACGCGTGGCACCTTTCTCACTCTTCCTCCTTTCCCCAGAGCCTGAGGCAGTAACTTACTTCTTTGCCGTTCACTTCATTCTGCGTCCCTTTAATGAGATGAAATCTAAGCAACGGAGAACGTCAGGTCGCCTCCTGTTTCATACTAAATGGGGGGCCCTCTCATTCAGCGGCGCCCAGGAAGGGAAGAATCCCAGGCTTCATGTGCCGCAGGTCTCCTGCTAATTCCCCCGAGACTGTGGGAGAGTGACCAGAACTGGCACGTGCGTGCCGTTATTTTGACCGAGTGAGATATTTCTCACGACAGTGAGGTGTTCCCATTAGGGATCTGCAAATGCCGCCCCACCCGCTGCCGAGGCTGCTCTTTGCCCTGTGCTTTCGAGCTTCGCCCTATCTCGTCTCTTCATTGTGATTAGTGTTTTCTCTATTTGCAGACATTTTGCTACATGTCCTGTGCCAGTCCTTGCTCATAAACAAGGAATAGACCCAAATATAGGGTGTTTCAGTCTCAGCACAAATGTGTGTCCCCTGTCCTTGAAGACCAAGCACGGTCCATGAACCGAGCTCCTGGACACAGGGTCTGCACACAAGGTCAGACGTGGCAGGGGGGTGGTCAGCATATGTCACAGAAAAATGGAAGCTACGTATCAGTCAGCAGCACGCTGGCAAATGGTGTAAGGTCGAATTCTAATAGCACAGTGATCTTCGGTCTTATTCTGGACCGCCATGTACATAGAAAACCATCAGAAATATGTTGGATTTTAGCAAATAATAGCCTCTATTGGATTGAGTGAGGTCTTTTGTGTTCAGTCAGACCTGTTTTCTAAACCCAGGATTTCTGTGTGATCATGAAAATAGTGTCTCTGTTCATGAACCACTTTCCATGACAACAGAAACATCAATAAAATGTCACTCCAGAATTTAAGAAGCCATGGAAGATGCTATCTCTGAGCAGAAGGGGGCGAGAGCAAATTACCTGATCCCCACCCCCATCCTGTGTCTGTGTATGACTAAGATCCAGTCTTGAAAAGAAAAAGAAAGGTTCTAAAAAGTCAGTATGAAGCTCAGATAAAGGTACATAAACAGAGTACCTGGTTTATCTGTGTTAGACATAGCTAAGCTTATTCAATCACTTTGCTTCATTCTTACAGTTTATTTCTAATTAAAATTAAAATAGCTTATGCCCATTGTGGTTGCTGGGATAGCTTCTTGATGGCCAGGGGCTTTAAATGAAGTGGTACCCATCTGAGCTTCTGTAAACAGGTAGCAGCCTCGCCTTCCCCTGCCCCCACCTTGCACACCAACTCTGCAGCTTCATCCACCTGGTGTCTACAGCATCAAGGAGCCACAAAGGCAGACCCATCGCCCCAATGTTTGTCTCTTAAGGATGATTCCGGCGCCAGATCAAGTCAGTATTGCTAATTTGCTACATGTGTACTCATAATGCATTTTTAAGAATGTCTCTTACCCAAGGTAACTCTTCACTGTTCTTTTCCATCCTTAAGTTCATAAGCAACACGCAGATCCAAGAATGCACAGGACTGAAGTGAGAAATGAGAAAATGTCACCAATCATATCTACCTTATCATTTTATAAATGCTCCAATGGGGTCTGAAGGAAATGTATCTTCCAAGATTAACAAGGAATACATGCAAGATAGATTTCTTTTTAGTTTTTTGCAGTGTAGCATAAATGGCATATGGTTCTAATTAATAAATAGACTTAGGCAACTTTACTCAAGAAACAAAGTATTGAAGATAGGTATTTGTCTCTTCTTTGTCCCTTACCCTGGTGAATAAGAAAGAATGATCGCAAAGATATTTCTTTATGGAATTTGTTTATATATTTAATCTGTTTATATCTCCATTGGATGGTAGTCTGTTTATGAAAGATGGAAGACACATATTTAATACTGATAATGTTTATTTCTGAACCAGGAAAATGAAATGAAATTAGACTAGTCACCTTTTAAATGGCTTTTCAGTAGATCTTGAAATCCTTGAGAAATACTTCCCAAAGCCCTTGAAGCTGATTGAAACTTATTACTCAGTGTATTTCATTCTAAAGTCTCCAGGATATTTATTCACATGGAAATACGGGAGAAATAAATTACAGATGAAGAAACAGAAAACCACAAGGCCACGTGACAAAACTGCAGATCTGGGAAAGGGGCTTTTCTGTTAGCTGAACAGCCTGGCCCCAGCCCATGGTGACATCTCTTACCTCTAGGACCTGCGCGAACTCATGACTACTCTGAGTTATAAACTAGTTTGGATGCAAGAAGAAATTATTTTTGGACTATCTGGGAACCAATCAAACGTTCACCTGTTTACTGATTCTCTGAGTTCTTGGTGCTGGGCTGTTTGACTTAGTTATGGTTTTATAACGGAAGCTGTTTATGTTCCTGCTACAGACAACATACAAATAAGAACAAAGAAATACAGGGCCCAAAGTCACAGGGCTGGTGCCATAGTTCCAGTTCAGTCACAACTACTTACAAGACCTCAGATAAATTATCTTTAAATCTCTTCCATTCTCTGTTGCTGGGTTTCCTTATTATCATAGCACATAAACTGCGTCTTGTCTCATTTCTGGGAAGATCTACAATGTGGATTAAACAACTTGCTGAAGGTCCATGTGCATTAAAAATCTAAAAGTTTATATAACATTCAAGAATCATCCAATTCTCAATTTCCCTTTTTCATTTTTATCTTCTTTTATATTATCATTCAAACATCAAAAAAAAAAAAAAAAACCCTCAAAGTTTTATCCTGAATAGGGGTAACTGAAAACCCACACGGCACTGGGTCTGGTGTAGGTTTGCAGTCAAGCGTCTCCCGCCGGAAGGCCTGCCCTTTGGCCTTCAACCATGGATCACGGCCATCGTGGGAGCCCTGCCCTGCTCTATCGTCAGCCAGTAAGACGGCAGTGGGCCAGAAGGTATGACTCTAAAGTATACAAGGTTTTTAAGAATGTGAATCATTCCAAAAAGTATACATCTAAATTTCTGTTGCCATTCCTTCATTCACTCATTCATTTATTCAGTCAACAAACGGGCCTGTGCAGCTGCTTGATGCTGAACACAGTGCTGTGGGACGAGGTCATCTCCAAGGGCAGGTAACTGACACTCCAATGAAACAGCCTTGGGATGACAACTGGGGGGCTTCTTTAGAGCTGCCTTCGGAGACCGTCCCACATGTGCGCCCATCTTTCCACTTTCATTCACAGAACATCCCTCTTTTAGTATCTTTTTTCCTTACTTCTCTTCCTTCTTTCAAACTCTTTGCTGACATTTCTTGCCCTTTTTCTTTTGCTCTGTTACTACACACACACACACACACACACACACACACACACCCCTCTCTTTACCTCTCTCTAAATCTGGTTCCTGGTCTCATTTCTGCTCTCTCTCTCTCTTTCTCTCTCTCTCGTTCTCCTCTCGCTCTCACTCTTTCTCTGTCTCTCCCTCCCTCCCTCCGTCTTTCCGATTCTCTGTCTCTCTGTCTATAGGCAGTGGATATAAGTCTAGACTGAGGCCAAATTAAGATGAACCCTTCTGTTGAGCACATCAGAAAGCAAACTGATTGTTTATTGTTATGCTCTCAGCTGGCTGTGAGTGCTCTAAATTGATACGGGTTTAATGGTCTGATCACCATCATATACGAACAGAATAATAATAGAAACATCTCACATCTGAACAGTGCTTTACAGACTGCCAAATGCTTTCACATAGCCTTTAACTTGCTAGAGGTCAAGCATTATTTATTCACAGGTGCGTGCTTTTGCAGACATGTACATACACATAAATATCTCACTTTGTTGGAATTAATTTATTTGGCAGCCTCACCTACTTGGAACATAAATAAGTTAAAAAAAATAAACCCATAATTTTTTAAAGGCCTTTAAGGAACTGAACACAAAACAGTTGTCATTAATTCATAAATTAAAGCTCAGAAATAAAACAGTGCATAGGAAAAGGCACAGAGTATCTCATTGGAGTCATTCATTTGCAAGTATTTACCGAGTACCCATTATGCCAGGCAATATTCTAGCTGATAGACACCTGTAGTAAACAGGTGTCTGAAAAATAGTGCCTGTCTTAATGGAGCTTATATCCTTAGAGGGCTGGTGGGTGGGGATACACAATAACAAAGGAAAATGAGCAAAGCCTATAATGTACTAGAGGGTGAGCAGTTCTACAGAAATAAATAAATCAGGAGATGGGAGAGTTGTTGACAGAGGAAGGACAGTGACAATGGAAGTCCAATAAAGGTGGCATTTGAGTAAAATAGCTTGATGTCACCATTTCTCCTCAGTTTACTTATCTTTAAAATGGGAAAGATAATAACGATCTTACAAAATTACTGAAAGCTTTATGTGAGCAAATATATATCCCAGCACATAGCCTGAAGTGCATGAATTACGCAATGAACAGTAGATATATCCTAATCTCATAAATGTCACTCATCACAGAGATCTTTGTATATTCAGAACCCATTTTCCTATAATTCATATATAATTTTAGCAAGATTTACTTTCTTCTAAATTTAAAGAAGATCATAAGAAAAAAAAATATATATATATGAATTCGTGTATGTGGATGTGTGTCTTGGATATCCATGTGGGTTTCCACTACAAATTTCAACTTCTTATGGTTTATAAACTCCAAAGCCAAGAAATTTGCTTAAAAATTAATCCTAGGATGATGATAACCCTGAGATAACTGGAAGAACCAAACACTAACTTTTCTAGAACACATGGCCCCAACTCAGTGCTCACAGACATCTCTGGAATGCTATATTTTGATATAATCTTTTATAGAATTCCCACAGTAATTTCTCACACAGGATGAGCTCATGGTCCAAAATTAATGAACCATGAGGAAATAAAATCCACCATAACTAAGGGTCAACGAACACACAAGAAAAGGGGATTAGAACCAAAAACTATACGACAATAACAATAAACCTTCATGTAATAGAATCACCCGATAAAATCTATAAAATACATTTTTAAAAGTTATTCAAGAGATAATAAAGAAATTGAAGCCATAAAAGTGTATATGAGAAGTGTTTTAAGACAATTTCTTGAATGAAAAATGTATTCATTTAAATAAAAAGTCAGTGGATAGTTTAAAGATCAAATTATAGACAGCCGAATGGAAAATTATTGAACTAGAAGTTAGATATGAGAATGGGGACAAATTTTTAGGAAACATAAAAAAATGATGATGATTTGGAAGCACAAGAAGGTCCAATATAATACCCCCTGTTTTTGTACACAGAAAAGGAGTCCCAGGTTCTGGGGATCTAATGTACAGCATGGTTACTATAGTTAATAATACTGTATTCAATAACTTGAAAATTGCTAAGGTATCAGATCTTAAGGATTCTCACCACCAAAAGAGAAAAAAAAAGGTAACTGTGAGGTGATGAAAGAGTTAATTAACTTGATTATGGTGATCATTGCACAATGCATACATCTATGAAATCACCATGTTTTACACCTTGAATATGTACTTTTATTTGTCAATTATACCTCAGTACATCTGGGGGCAATTTTTTAAATAAAATAAAAGGAGTCCCAGGTGGAAAGAACAGAAAGATGAAAGAGAAGCAAATAATGGCTCAGAATGTTTCGGAATCCATGAGTGTGTCCTCATATCTGAGAGTCAGCCGTGGGAGAGGCCAGTGATCTCATCTAAAAGTGCAGGGCGATTTACTTTCTTTGGAATGAACTTGTCCACCCATGAAAGAGGGAAGCAGGAGCCAACAAACACACAAGCTTCCTCCTCCAGGGGATCATTCCATCCAGAGCCAGCCCACGTGGCCAGGTGGGCTCACCTGCCTGGCCGCCAGCTGTGCCTCTTCGTGGCTTGTTGTGAAGTGGTGGCATTTACTCAAACCTTGCATTTGCTCCTCATCCTTCACTGCCTCACTTCCCCCTTCCCTCAGCCTCGCTAATAAAGCATTACCACTTCAGCCTTGCTATGGGCTCTGATTTTCTGGGGAGCTGGGCCAAGACATCCACAAGCCAGCTATTCAACCTGTAAGAGTTCACCTTAGAGAAATCCTGCACGTGTACATGGGGAGATGAGGTCAGAGATGCTACACAGCCCGGAATAGCACAAAAGTGAGAACAACCTAACTCTCCTGCAAGAGAAGCATGAATAAACTATGGCTTATTGGAACTGTCCATTATCATACAACAGTTAAAATGACCTCATGTATCAAAACAGAGAAATGTCAAGAAAACAACATTGGCCAAAAGAACAAAGTTATGAAAGATATATTATTTATATAAAACTTTAAAGCACATGAAATAATATATCCCACATATACTCAATACATGGGAATGATATTCCCCAATTTTAAGAATTTACCTCCCAGAAAAAAGAGAGGAAAAAATTGTAATGTATCTTTAACAATTGTTCTAAAAAATAAGACCCAAAGCAAATATAATGTGATGATCTGTTTTGCCAGTATGTATATTGTTATCTGTTATATTAGTTTGTAAACTTTTCTGTGGTCTGTCCACCTTT